AGGATGATAGCAGAAGCAAAGGGGTTTGAAATGCCTTTTGTTAAATGGACAGTTTGGTGCAAGTCTGAGGAGTGGTTTGTGAAAGAGATGTCATTTGGGCTGAAGAAAGCATGTGCATTAAGGGGAAAAAAACCAGTAAACCAGTTCATAATCCACTTAATGATTTAGAAATCCTAAGGAAAACATTTAAAGGCTTCTCAGAATCTTTTTTATTATTACACTGTTAAAACATGCAGGAGCCCAGTGCGTAGTTTTTATTTGAGGCACCAGTGCTTCCCGATAGCAATCTATTGCACGTTTCCAGGAAAAACCCCGCTTCCTTCAAGCATCAGGCTCCGGCATGTCAATTGCGATCTTTGTGAACACAAAAACCTCTTGGTTTTATTTTTTGTGACAAGCACACTGTCCTATTTACATTCTAGAATGAACGAACAAGCACCCATTCCTTGAGATACGGGCACTCAGAAAGAATCTTCCTCTCATTTGAGTAGGAAGGAATTTGATGAGAGATCCCCTCTGGGTCTGCAGCGACTGCTGAGGAGGCGAGTAATTCAGCCTGCGTCTAGCTGCTATAGAAGCACACGCCTAAGTGGCTGATGCTGCAGGCACCAGAAGATGAAAACTTACGGGCAAACCCCCTCATCATGGTACTGTCCCCAAAAGGCGACTCTTTAAGGTCCATCATTCCGAGTTCACCTCTTCCTGAGCCACAACACAGCCTGGTTCCTGCAGTTCTGTTTGTTCTAAGCTTCAGTAAGTACAGATTTCTCTCTTTCAAGCTGTTTGCTGGAAGTTCTAGGATTATTTCAGTTAGTTGTTCAATCAACTTCTGCAACAATTACGGTAGTATTCAACAGTTAGAGTAGTAGTCTTGTGCTGCACTCAAAACAAGGGCTTGGAGTTTCCTAGTTAGGCTGTCTCAGGGTTCTGAAGATGAGGTGAGTGTGCATGTGGCAACAGGTATCCTACAAGGTGCAAAACATATCGGAGTCTCTGACAAAAAGAGGTTAAGACTAGAGGCTAAATTCAGCATCCTGAAGCCAAAATGCTTTCTTGGGAGAGAACTGCAGCTGGGCTGGAGGCCTTTTTATCCAAGTACTGGGACGTAATCCTTGGAAAAGGAAGCGCTTCATACCAACAGTGCTGTTACAGGCTGGGGACCAGGTGATGGGATGGTTATCATCTTTGCAACCTCTGCTGAAGGCAGAGCAGGGGGATGCTGATGGCAAGAACCTTGCTCCATCACCTATCTGACTATTGTCTGAAACGTTAACTCAGGAAAAGAGCCACTAACAAAGTGAAGGCCACATGATTTAGCATTTTTAATAGTGCAATAATAATTTAGTGGTTTTAATAACTTACATGTTCCTTATTGAGATCCATAAATGTACAGTGGGACTCTCCACCACTTAAGGACTTGAACGATACAGCTAATTAACTAACTCATTATGGCTTTTGTTATTCGCAACATTTCTATGATTAGTTTTTCTACAATTTGGAGAAAGAAGCTTTGTTCAGGAAGGGCTCAGCTATCAGCCATCACCCCTAGAGGTTCACTTGTCCCTTAGAAGAGCAAACTTTCCAGAGACACTTTTCAAACAGAACTGGCGTGCCCGGGCGCCTTCTAACGCTCAGCGCTCAGCAGGGTGACAGAGGTTTCCTGTCTCGGCTGGTGCTGGCCGTTGCTGTTTGAGGACGTGGCAGGTGCAAGCACAACCTGGATGGGCCGTCTCAGCACCAGCAAGGGACACAGCTTCACGTGAATAACTCTGTACAGCTCTGTCAGAAACAAACAGGTTTTTAACAAATCAGTATTTTTAACTCAGGTCTGAATGTGATTATGAACAAATGTCTTTTACCATCAATGCCATTGACTTACTTAAATAAACCACACAAGTTGTTTGTTTTTTCTTTTCCTTTTAACAAGAAGTGGCAAGAGCAGGAAGTCACAACACAGCAACTCTACTTCTGTAAAAATACTAATTCATTATCTAGAACTGGGGAAGGCAGCGTGTTGACTCATTAGCAGAACAACGTGGAGCAGACTGAGAAGCTGTGGCCTGAATTGTTATTTATTACAAACTGACCTGGTATTGCTGCACAACTAATTCTCCAGCACTGCTGAATCAGGCACTGGAAGTCTTTTAAAAGCTGACTAAGTGAAAATATGCTGCTACCCATAAGAAGTAAGCAAACCATAAAAAAACCAGAACAGTTAATGTCTTTAATATAAAATCATTTTTCCCCCCAAACCAGCAGCACTGTATTACAGCAGGTGTATTAAATTAAAGGACCACCATTATGATCGAGGACATCTTCATGTATGAAGTAAAATCTTCCAAATAATTCATAGTCCATTTTCTGTACATTTCAGCTTATTAAAATACACTGGAAACAACTAATAGATTTTCTGTTCAGCAAAAAAGCAGGTGTCACTACCACCATTTCTCAAAGAAAACAGAGTTTCTAGGAACACCCATCTTAGCCAGTAGTTTGGATATAGATTCTATCATTGGAGGTGGACCACAGATGTACCATAAAGTATCCTTAGATACATGTTTTTCTAGATCCTTTTCAGATATTCTTCCCTCTGACAAAGAAAAAAAGCAGGAAATGAGAACAGAAATAGTAATCATGAAGCAATCTCAAAAAGAATGACTGGTTAGAGGTTTTTCAGCACTCATTTCTTAAAAATGCCAGACTTGTTTAAGGATAATGGGTATCAAAATTTGAGGCTTCCAAAACTATTTGTTCTTCTGGGGATTTAGATCAGTACTTCCAGCTGGAATACATGGGATATCAGTCACTGAAGACACGCCTTACATGCAACTAAAAATCCCATATTCACATGAAAAAAATAGGTTAAGTATCTCTTAACACAAATACATCAGAAAGGGAAACATTGGTGTATCTCTAGCAAGTGGTCAGCTTATCCTTCATTGGTCCCGCCTTAAACAAGGTAAATACTTTGCTTAATAGTTTCTGGAATGAAGTTTGCAGTGGGAAGTACCAGAATAAGTTTAGAATTAACAGAGGAGGTTGACTAGAAATGAAAACAAAAACTGCAAAGGGAAACTATTTCTTCAAAGCATAATATGTAAAAATACTGAATTATGCATATAACTTTATCCTCTAGGATGTAATTAAACTTAGACTTTAGAAGTCATCGCTCTGCACTGTATTTACCTGTAACATGTGGCTGAAGTTCTTTACAGATCTGTAACCTCTGTTGGGTAACGTGGAAACGACATGTGATCTGTCCAGGAAACGCGTTCATCAAACCAAGAATATTTTTCTGTAATGTTAAACACACTCGCTTACACCACAGGCCATTAAGTGAAGGCAGATGTGTGCATGCAGTCCCACAACGCCAGCCACTGGCACAGAGCACCAACACTCTTGCATTTCAGCGCTGAGAACTTGATGGGCTTCACTTTGCGGGGCTGACCCGCGCACGTGCAGAGCTGCCACACCTGGAATGTGAATGCACCACCAGCTTTTCTCTTCTTTTACAATAGGCTGCAATTTGTAAGGTTTGGACCCAAGAACCAGTTACATCCTTTCCTGTTTTCTTCCCCATATAAGTTCTCACATTTCCTCCTTCCACTTCCATATGGGTTTTCCATTTAAAAAACCCCTGCAGTTGGTATTTACCATTTGTTAGGAACTTTTTGAGTCTCATCTGCTTTAGCTGGTAGGATTACTAGAATTTTTATTCTTTCTTGTTCTCCAGATAAAACCAACTACAGTGTCTTGCTAATGCTATTTTTAATAGAGTAGAAACTGTAATTTTCAGTTCCATAAGTCACAACTGTGATAGCTGCCTCCAAAAACCCAGTGGCTTCGGTTCAAATCATAGTTTAAAAAAAATAATAATAATTTTTAAAAAAATCTGTCAGATGCTATAGTTAGTTCTGAAACTAAGATTTATTTACTGTCTAGATTCTGCACTATTTGAGATTTTCACTGCTGGAATGGGCACTGGAAATTCTTAAAATATTCTGAAATAAAAATAATTTCTACTCTGTGAATAGGTAAATTAGCTCATTTTGTTATGGGTTTGCTTACTAACTAGTGACTGCACTGAACAGTCTGCTATGGGTGGCTTAACAAAAAAACCCCCAGACAGATTCTCTAATAAACAGATCTGTTTCTGATTCCGAAAGAAGGCACAGAATGAGGAGCAGCACAGCCAGACACTGCTGTACGCTGCTGCTCTAGCACCGCTGATACTGCCCTGCTTTCACTGCTATGGATGTGACTCAACTTCTGTCCCCTTTGTATGGAACCACACACAATTTGGTAGCACTTTTGAAACTAATCAGGCCCTGCTGTGCTGCAGTCCTAGGACCGAGCCAGAAAGCACGCCTAAGGTAGGACTCAACCTGCTTAAACCAGTCACCGACAACACCTACTTGTAACCTACCACGCTGCCATTCAGTGACACAGACAGAAAAGGGACAAGGACACACGTGACAAAGCACCACAGCACTATTTTCTAGTCTGCTAGGCCAAAAGACGGGCTCTCTTTAACTGAATGAAGCAGAATTTCAGCAGCTCGGCAGGTTCTTCGCAGCCTAGTGCGTCAGCGTGGAACGCGAAGTGGGCAGCTGAGCAATACAGACCTAAGGGAGAAGACCTATTCCCCGTGTCCCAGCCACAATAAGGAGATGAGGGTCACATCCCTCATTGCAGTCCTCAGGAAATCAGGAAAACCCAGCTCACTGGCGAACTGAAGTAGCAAAGTTAGTATGCTGTCCTTTGGAATTCTATTCCAATGCTGTATGTGGGTGACACCACACACAGCTGCTTCTTCAGGGAACAGGTCCTTCAAAACATCAGTGACAACCTAGCAGTTCCTCAGGGAGATTTGTACAGGTGTATCTTGCAACACAGACTCCAGTAATCCTATTTCCTCAGTCCTCTGCACAAAAGTAAAGCATTTTCATGTACATGTTCGGGATTTGAGGGACACATGAAGAATGAAGGGGAAGATGTAAGAACTGTGACATATCATTGTAGCTCTGATGCAATAGCTCTGCTGTCATAGCACTGCTGAGGGAAAACTCAGGAAACACTCCTCTTGCACTGAAAAAAACTGTGTATGCTTAGAACAGACTGGGAGATGAGTAGTTGGACAAAGGGAAGAGAAGACAGGCTCCAGGTTGTTATTCTGCTTCTGGCAACAAACAAATGACTTCTCAAAGAAAGCAAACATTTTCATACCTAGAAATAGGGTAGAAGTACAGAAGAAAAACTAGTGATGGGTCCTATACACAATTTCTAGAATCACGACAGATTTTCACCTTTATCTTACAATCTAAAGCTTCCAATATTTCAAAGAAACCTAAATCACTAGGGATGCTTCTTTATAGAAGTTGTGCTAATTTGACTCTAAAATGTCATCAGTGACCCTTCATGTCTGAGTGTGACAACTGCTCTTTAACTGCTAAGTAAATGTTGATGAAGTACTACTACAAGCATTTGTACAAGAGGTGCTTATAAATCCCTCATTCACCAGCGAGTACCCAGTAATAACTAATGCGTTATCAATGGAGCTTCCCTATTATTTCAGAAAGTATTTTTCCTTTGGATAGAACTGCTCTTGCTAGTCTTTAAATCCAGTACAATCAGAGATACTGTGGTTACAGTGTTATAGCACAGTCATACATACTGTTAGTGTGTATATGCACATATGTATGTAACCTTTAGTATGCTACGATGCTCTTATGAGACTCTAGTAAAATACAGACATTTAGGGTTAAGTGACTTGTCAGTGAAGTCCCTGAGACCAGGTATGTCCAGTAACATCCTTAATTTGTACACTGGCACGATTAACAAAACACAGATGGGATTTGAGGCAGGAAGTGCCTTTTGTCTCGGTTTGTACCGTGCCCTACACAGAGGGGCTCTCTGGAATCTGGCAGAATGATACACACAGGAATACCTGAATATCTGAGATCTGTTTTTTAAAAAAAACTTGTTATTTACCTTAAATAAGAGTTCACTTGTATTTTTCGCACTGTAGTACAGCTTCGCTGTTCCCATTTTGTATCTGTTTCCTTTACCCTCTTGGTATCCCTGAAGATCTGCTATATGCAGCAGTATAGAAAACAGTGGGTTAATTCCAACACCCCCTGCTATCAGCACTAGTTTTACAGGGGAGTCATCAGGCTGAGGATCAAAGAAGAAATCACCTCCCACTCGCAGAGCCACTTCTGAGTCAAGAGTGCACTAGGATGAAAAAGAAGATATTTATTTTCAGAACTAAACGCAAAGGTTGAAATATTCTTCTTGTACCACAATCACAAGACTTGCTGGGCTGTGATTTTTTTAATTTTTATTGACCATACAACTGAAGCACTTTAAAAGAAATGCAGTTTCCAGCTATCTGAAGTCATCTGTTCCAGTGTCTCCAGGGATCTAGTTCTACTTTCAGAAGTTTCAGTCCCCCGATAAGGCGGGATGGTGACTCCCCTTCCCACCCCCTTAAGAGCTGAAAGAGGAATGATTCATGCAAGAGTTTTTCAACAGCAGTTATGTGGTTGTGAAAACTTGAGGTTAATGTATGAGATCACACTTTTACCCAAACCCAGTCATGTCAAAAAAGGCCTTGCTGTGAGGTCACAGAAGGAATTCTCAGTTGCAGAGACGCAAAAGGTTTTTCCACCCCATTCCTAAAAAATAAAAAACCACCCAGAAGTGAAGCAAATATCCACAACAATATTTTTTGCAGAACCACTTCTGCACTTGCAACCTCAGAGTTGCAGAAGAAAAATCAGGGGAAAACCTTCTCTCTTTGCTTCCACTTGTACATAAGAAAATATATCTCTCAGAAATTGGCTAAAGCATGGGGGTTTTTTGATACATGGAAAACTAAAGCTACAACAACAAAAAACCACATTTGGGTCAATATTTTCTTGGCAAACCGGCACTGCATCCCATACGAAGGGTGAAACTGCAGTACAGAGAAGTCAGGCGAGTTCTCCCACGTCACTGCAAGCTAACAGAACAACAGAACTCATTTCAGATCATATGTAGAGTTGAAAAAATAAAATAAAGAGGATAAGGAAGCCAAGGAAGGTGAGAAAGGAGGAGATAAAAAAAAAAGTAAAGCTACAAAACTGCTGAAAAATTAGCAGTTAATCATTTACAGAATAAAAACACTTCCTCCAAAAAATCCTTTTGATATTGGGAAACAGTAACTGAAACAAAACAATCTCTATTAATGACACCTGTATAGTAAACAAAGGACTAAACAGGCAACAGTTCCACCAGGAGGAAGAAGGAGAAAAAAAAACAAACTAATTTCTCTCTCCCTTTTCAGTGTCCACTGCCAGGCTTCCCCGCCACATAAACAGAGATGCAGGCATCCAGAAGTGTTCCAGATTCACGTGGCAGGAGGAGGACATAGAACATGGCATCCTTTGTGGAAATAAGCATTTTTAGGGAGAAACAATCTCCTTCTCATCTCATCTGCCTCCTTAACCAGCTACAGCTCATCAAGATGGGGCACAGGGCACAGGAAGGATCTCTCTGAGCCAGGAGTCTCCCACATATTTCAGTGCCTTAGCCATGGCAATGACAACAGTAAGTCAGTTGTCAAAAAACCCAATAGATTCTGGAGTAATACGGTGAGAAAGTGTTGTCCTTTAGCCTGGTTGGTAAATACAGCACTGAAACAGCTTAGAGCAGTGAAACAATCAATACATTACATGTACATTTTTCTAAATAAAAGGCTGCATTTTCCTAAGCTATAAAGTACAGTGCGCTGAATTATTTTATACAGAATAATATTAAAGAATAAATACCTCTGAAAAAAAACAGTGAGTAAATGAGTATTAACTATTCCCATAACATCTTTTACCCTGAGATATCATTTATAAATAACTTTTAAATAATTATTCTGTTTTCCTAAGGAAAAGCATGCACTTCTGTTTAGCTAGAAGAGTCCACGTGTACCCTGGAGGTTTCTCCACAGCATCAGGTTTGACCTAGCTTACCCACTAACTACAGAGTTTCCTATAAATTCAACCAGAAAACTCAGCAACAACAGCAAACTGACTTATGCCATTAAAAAATCCTAACAGAGCCTCCAGAGGCTGGGAATTGGGAAGTTAGGCCTTCATATTCTCTAAAGAGCAATGCCAAAGAGCAGGCAATCCTCTCAGGCATTATGGGGTCTGCTGGCACGTATACTACAAGTTCTACACAACAAAAAAGTTATTTTCTCAAAAAGGTTATTTTGTTTATGTTCCAGTGCAGACAACTTGCTGTAACACCAATTAAATGCTGTGGCTGGGCACATGCTCACTGCTAGATTAATGCCACTTTGGATATCCTCAATTCTACCAAACTTGCATCAATCTTTACTGTACCTCTGCTGGCCACTGAACAAAACCGCAGTATTTGTAAACCTGGAAGAATCTGTCAATTTAAACCTTGCAGCCACATTTAAGAAATACAAATGCCAGGCAGAGAACAGCAAATAGGATAGGTCACGAGGGGTTGTGAAAAGAACAAAAGTTGACAGGACAGGTCATCTATGAAATATGATCAGGAGCAGAAATAGGGCTCTTCTGACTGTAACTAAATGGGGTGAACAGATGAACAGAACACTGCGAGAGGCCAAAGTGTCAGACTTCACTTTCAATATAGCAAAATTCAAGACTCGGGTTATATCAATATTACCAAAAATACTGCATATTTAAAATAATGCTATAGAAATACTGACATATTCTCTTGTTTTATCATTTCAGAAAAACTGATCTAAATATTTCCCTTTGCTCCTCCTTAATAATCTGTATTTATAGATTTACATTTATCTGACAGTGATTCCCAGTTTGGTACAAAGGGCCAGGAACGATGGCAAGTTATCAGATGTAACTTGGTAACGTGTAACACAGCCTGTTCTCAGGGACACAAGTTAGAACACAGGTTTTTCAGCATTTCTCAGTTCATGAACTGCAAAGGACTGAGACCCCTTATATGCACTAACTACAGTATCACTGTAAGTCCACCAAGCACAAGTGGAGTCAAAAGATCACAATAACCATATCACCACATAAACAGCTAATTTCAGTCCCTTCCTGAACAAAAGGTTTTAAGGTTTATGTTGTATTAAAATGGTTGAACAAGTCAATAGGAGTTTTGCAGTCAATAGCAAAAAGTGGTCTGAAGCCACAGATACACCCACTTCACCCCCTGAAAAAAGAGACAAATCTCACAGTTAATCTAATTTACCTCAGTGTGAATCCAGTGAGCAGGAGGATGAACAGTGTGCTTTACTGCCAGCTCTAATATTCCTTCTCGTTCCAACAGGCCAGGGCTTGAACATATTGAGAATCCCCCAACTACAGATACTCCAGGAATAAAGAAATCAACCCTAAAAATAAACCAGAAACAAAAGTTTTAAAAAAAGCCAACAACTCCAAACATGGAAAACAATAACCAAAACAAAATGGCCGCCTTTGTGTTGATTATCCTTCTTTTACAAAGACATCTTCATTTCCATAACATAACTTTTCCAAAAAAGGATTTAATCTTGAGTAATGCTATTTCCTGAGATTATTTTCATCTAGAAACATGTCATCACCTTTGTTCAACTAGCAGGTTTTTTAACCGTTCTGCTTTTAGCATTAGACACCACATCTTACAACAGACTAGAATTTTAAGTGTTTAAATAAATTGTTTGCATATTAAACCAAAACCACAACATGGTCTGATAGAGTGGTTTAAATCCCACTCTTTCTGGTCTGTTTGATGGGCTCTTCAATTTTCAAACATGAGAAGATTGGGAAACTAATTTTAGGGAATGACTTTTGATTAAACACTTTATTTTCTTGGGAAGATGAAATGTCTGAAGTAAAACCACAGCCTGGAAAAAATTTCTTACTGAAAAATCAGTTACTGGAAGCAGAATTGCTTTACCTATCGAACTGCGGTGCCCTCTGGTGGCACAGATCTTACTGAACTGGAATACATCACTAACATTTTTTTTTAAGCTTTTAAAGTAAAACATGCATGGGTTTCTACAGATTAGGACGTAATATACGGCGTTTGCAACACCAGCAATTAGAAAGTATGGAAGGCAAGCCATTACTACACTAATTTTCATAAAAGTAAGGCTTTGATACTCCAAATAGTATCAGAAAAAGTCAGAAGTTGGTTTATGAGCTAACATTTAAATGCTTCTGTGCTGCCTAAATCTTTAAACACTTCAATTTTCTACAGCACATAGCAAAAATCTCTGTATTTCAGAAGAAAACTAACATTTAAAACTAATTTTGCTGCTCCACTTAAGAAACAACCACACTGGTAAGCAATGCCAAGTACTAGAGAATCATCATTCAAGTCAAGCCTGAGTTAGGCTAGCTCAGCATTAGTTAAATGAGAATGCCACAAGAAATACCGACTGCCTTCCACTGCACGGATACTTTCTTTAAACAACAAGGCTGTGTTCTTCACCGAGATCACAGACTCCTGAGGGAGAAGCACTTTGAACAGTTCACTACTTTTTAAAGAAAAAATCTCACCTGCTTACTCCCCACAAAGCTTCACCCTTAAAAGAAAAATATCCTCTCTCTCTCGAATGTACAAAGTGTGACATATACAATAGTAGAGTGACACCATTTTTAACTTTATGCTAATAAACTCGATGCTGTATCAAGGTATCCGGCTGCAAATGAAAGGTCGACAACCAAAAAAAGCTGAGAAGGGTTATTTTGCCACCCTCAGTCCTGCTGCCCCACTGACCACGGGGCTCAGCTTTCCTGGCAGTAAGGATCTCAGAGATTAAAAAGGACAACTCTTGTATTGCAGCATTTATTGTATCAAAGAACAACCTCAAAAAGCTACTAAAGCTCTTTACCACCCTCTGGTGGAAAATAATCTTACTACTTAAATTAACAACAACAGAAAATTACATTTATGCTGTAAAGTAACAATTTACGTTCAAGTCAAAATGTTCTGCTTGAGATGTGAGGGAACCATTATTTGTGCCTGCTGGGGAAACATACATCCAAAATCAAACACTGCTGTAAAACCTAAATCAAACCTAGTTTTTGCCCTTCTAAAGTACTAATATAGGCATGCAGTTCTTTCTGGTTTAGTGTTTCTTTTCCAATTCCATAATTATGAGAGATTTCAGTGCGTAGTATACTATATTATAGTGGATTAGCTTGTATTTCTGTTGGCTTGTCTCAACTTAGCTGTGTGTAGGAAGGACAAGAGGACACCCAAAGAAACAGCTTAAGTGAAAAGAGTAGTTGTATGGAAAAAAAGAAAAAAAAAAAGCACTATATAAACCCACCAGAAACAGCAGCGCAAAAAGATGTAAAACAGGGATTTATGGTGGTTTATAATTTCCCTCCTTTTAAAGGTACCTAAGCTAAATCTTTAAGAAAAGAACAATTAGCAATAGCTGGAGGAAGGTATCAGAAACATTGAAACCATAAAGCTACTTCTTCAAAGCATTTATAACATGCACATACTGCAAGGCATGTTTTAGTAGATGAAAATGGGTAACAGCAACAAGCCTCTTCATTATTACTTGAAGTCAGATAAAGACCAGTATCTGCCAGCATGCTTGCAAAACAAATTCACTTTTGCTTCTGAAGACCTTGATAATTAGAAGACTTTCAAAAAACATACACATCTTAGTGACAATCTTTGGCTGTAACATCTTACTATAGCAAATTCTAACAAGTTAGCCTTTTCTACTCAGGAAGTTGTGGCCTGTGTTTTGTACCGCTCATCAAAAAATGCAACCACAGTTTGTAGCTACAAGTACAGAAAAGTTGTTGTGTACCTTACAATAGCATTAGAATACTTTTAAGGAAGAAGAAAATGAAAAAGAGTAATTATAATTAAAGCTTTCAGTTTTCAGCATGATAACTTCTAAAACATTTTTGGAGGGTAAATGCACTTTCCAAGTACTGGCAAGCAAGAATTTAATATGAGTCACTGCACATGTGCAAAAACTGCAGAAAATTACTCCACAAACAAATTATTGCAATCAACATCTTGTGTTCTGGTTCTAAATTTAAAAGTCAGCATATTAACACTACATGAGTAACATATGCTGTTAATACCCTGGCAGCTATACTTTGATTCCAGCAAAACCACTTACAGATGGCCTAAGCCAATAAAAAGTTTAAGAACATTCAAATGACCAATGCCAAAAGCAACTGCTCATAGTTTGAAATAAATTTCTAAAAGAAAAAAAAAAGTGCTTGAGCAGGAGTATTTTTAACAAGGAAAGAAGACAAACATGAAAATCCACTATTTCTCTGGGAAAAAAAAAAAAAAAAGCTCTAAGGTTGCTTAAACAAACAGCTAATTATTTCAAAGGCTTAATAATTCAACATTTTTTATTTTCAAGTTTGCTTATCTATATTTATATATTAATCTCACCTAACAGGCCTAATTTTCACAGTGGAAACTTCTAGGCAAAGAAATAAAAGTTGTTAACAGCAATTCTGATTTCATTATAAACCAAAACTAAGTAACTTGCAAACCAGCAGTCTCAGCTCCACTGTAAAAATAACTAGTAAATAGAGACAGCAACAACAGCTTGCAGAATAAAGTGCAGTATACTTCAAAGTACTTCTGAAGAAACAATGCAATATACATAAACCAGAGGAAACTATGAAAACAATTACATTTAAAGAATATCCATGCTCGCCCTCTTAAAATTAGTATTAGCATATTTAATAATGGCTATTTTTAAATTATGCCCAATATCAGCTATTTGACAGAGCACCCAATACTAAAACATCATATTCTATAAATTAATGATTTTTCCAAGGCTCAAGTATTAGAGATCTTTTAACATGTTGTTATAGTGAACTTTGCTAGTGATTTTCCCCTCAAATATCAGAAGATCTTACCACTGTCCTGCTTTGAAAGTAAATTCTTTATTGGCAATAGCCAAACGAAGTCTTTTGACTGTCTTGGATTCATTGGTGATTCCACACACTTTTGCTTGTGAAATTACCTAACAAAAGGAAAATAAGCCTTTATTGTGTTACTTAGATATCATTTGCAACAAAGGTACTGAAGAATCTATGTATGAGAGAATGAGAAGTGATAGGTATCTGCAGCATTTCATGACCTAAAGCACCAATATGTTTTCACTGTGGTAGAGAAACAAAAATGGATTCATTTACATAGTCCCTGAATGGAGAAATGGTTTCCTGCTCACAGTCCACCATGTCTGTCGCTTTCGTCAGGGTTATTCTAAGATTATACGCAAACTTACTTTATTTCAGTTGAAGAGAACATAACAATAAAGAGAAGAGGTTGCTAGTTACCACTTCTCAGATTCTTTTGACATCTGTACAGGGAATCTGTCCTGTATCTTCCAGCAACAAAGTAAAAAGATCTTTGACGTAAAGACAAACTTGTAAAAGATCAGCTGCTACTGCAGTCCCAGGGAGAATTCTGGATCTGTACCTGGTTTTATTTAAGTAATTAAATGCATTACTGAAAGATTGTGCATTAATGCATAATGCATTAATGAAAGAAAACCACAAGCCTTGTGTTACTGCCTTTACACACACACACACACCCCCCCGTTGGACCACCTATGTGACCTATGAACAGGGGGAAACTGCAACACAAGCATTCACTGCTTGTTAACAGAAGCTTTTGTTTGGCAACTAGATGGGAGAGGATGCAAGAGACATCGTTGATACCACTTTTTAAAAGAGTTTAAAAAATTATGAAAAAATAACCCTTTTCTAAATGAAAAGCAGATTTTGCAACAGGACCATTGGGAGGAGCGCCCCACTTAAAACTCTTTGATGCCCATCAGTACAACATGGATTTTCATCCCCTCCCCTCCCTCCCCTTCCTCTTCAGATATTTCTGAGTTACAATTATTAACCTTTTTCCTCTACAAAGAAAGTAATGCCCTAAATATTTTGTACACAGGGCAATATATACGGATTTTATTCTGTTTAAAAATGCTGATGTCATTTACCACACTAGGAAATACTAATAATACCACCACAAATCTACCATTTCTCATTTGTATAAGATCAAACAGATTAAAAAACCCCTAAACTTTAAGCAACTATGCTTTAATTTAAAACACATGGCAGGAAATTAATTTATTCATAAAGCAACAGCTGAACACGTCCACTGCCCCATTAAACAGCAGGACATTTGCCAATTTAAAATAAAGTAGCATACATTTCTTTTCCACTTTAGCAGACAGTATTAAAAGGGGAATGAAATCACTCTCAGTTAACAAGACAAACATCAGATATGTTACTTCAATGGCTGTTCTGATGGAGAAACCCTAAGTGCAGGAAATGGACATTAAGTTTGGATCTTCTTCATCCCCTTCTTTACTCTTCAGTACACTCCCTAATTTGTTCTTTGGTTGATAGAACTGACAGAGCACTGGAAATTTAATTCTTAACCAATATAAAGTTCTTACAAAAATTTAATTTGAGTCAGGGTGATCAAAGACATTCAACCAGTGTTTGGGGCCATCACAAGAGTATCCAACGGGCCCAGAGCAAGGCTGCAGTGAGATGGAGGAACACACGGGACTCCAGACTTTGCTGCTGTGTTCCAAGGCAGCGTTAGGCACTTTTTCTTGCCCTGGTCC